GTCAGTGCGGGCAGGGGAGCTTGGCCGGGGGACCCCACTGCCCGGGGTGTCTGTCTGTCCCACGGTGCTCGAGGTCAGCCAGGCCGCTGTCCCCATCCTGGCGCAGTGCTGGGCACTGACCCTGGGCACTGACCCTGGGCACGCTGGCTGTGCTCACTGCAGGCTCCGGGACGGCGAAGGAAGAACATAACAGAGTTCCTGGGGGACAGCAGCATCCCCAGCCCCGAGCCAGCCCTGCACAGCAGCAGCTCTCTGCCCAGCAATGGCACTGACACCTGGAAGAACCGCGCTGCCAGCCGCTTCAGCGGCTTCTTTGGCTCCGGGACTAGCACGGGCTCCTTCGGGCGGGTATGTGGGATGCAGGCACGGGGAGGGCTGTGGGGACTGCCTGTGGCTATGCTGGGGGGCTGGGATGGATCCCCCTGGGGCTCTAGACCCTAGTTCCACAGGCAGGGTGAGGTGGTCTGTGGCACATGCCCACTGGCCCCCGCCCAGCTCTGTCTCTGCTTTTGGCCAGGAGACTGAGAAGCTGGAGCAGCTGGTGAACAGGCTGCACGCCTACAGCACCTTCGGGCTGCCCAAGCTGCCGCCCCAGCTCCGCTTTGACCGCGACTCCTGGGAGGAGGATGGGGACGAGGCTGGGCTGACACTGGAGGACAGCTGGCAGCAGATCATCCAGGGCACAGAGGTAGGGACAGTGCCTGGGCAGCCTCAGGGGCTCTGCCCAGGCCCTGGCACAGCACTGACACTCAGCCTGGCAGGTCCTGTCGCGCCGGCAATGCCACCAGCAGGAAGCCATCTGGGAGCTGCTGCACACAGAGGCCACCTACATCCGGAACCTCAAAGTCATCACTGATGTGAGTGTTGGCAGCTACTGCACTGTGCTGGGGCTGGGGGCTGTGGCTGCAGCTCACTGCCTTTCCATTCCCTCCCCACAGCTCTTTCTCTCCTGCCTGGTGAACCTGCAGGAGTCCGGGCTGCTCTGTGAGGTGAGTGTAGGGGGCTGCAGGGCACAGGGTGTTCAGGGATGGGTCCTCAGCCTCGCCATGCTCCAGGGTGGAGGTGCTATTCCCCAGCACTGCCCACCTCACCCCCACAGGTGGATGCTGAGCGGCTCTTCAGCAACATTGGGGAGATCATCCGGCTGCACTGCAAGCTGTGGCGCAGCGTCATGGCCTCAGTGCTGGCCAAGGCACGACGGACTGGGGCGCTGCTTGACCCCATTGACTTCCTCGATGGCTTCAAGATGGTGAGTGAGGCTGCCATGCCACAGTGGGCAGCCATGCCGTGCCGTGTGCTGCATGGTGACCGCCTCGTGTCCCCTAGTTCGGGTCCCTCTTCAAGCCCTATGTGCGGTATTGCATGGAGGAGGAGGGCTGCATGGAGTACATGCGGACACTGCTGCGGGACAGCGAGCTCTTCCGCACCTATGTGACGGTAAGGGGAGGCTGGGGCTGGGGCTGGGGCTGGGGCTGGGGCTGGGGCTGGGGCTGGTGCTAATGCCTGGGTGCCACAGTGGGCCGAGAAGCAGGAGCAGTGCAGCCGCCTGAAGCTGAGCGACATGCTGGTGAAACCTCACCAGCGCCTCACCAAGTACCCGCTGCTCCTCAAGTCTATCCTGAAGAAGACGGATGACCCACGCGCCCGTGATGCCATCACCACTATGGTAAGGGATCAGGGGTGGGGGGCAGCAGGTTGGTGGTCCCTCTTGCCCCTCAAACCCACCGCCACTCCTGGCACAGATCAGCTCTGTGGAGCACTTCATCAATGACGTCAACTCACGGATGCGCCAGCGGCAGGAGCGGCAGCGCCTGGATGCCATCCTCAGCCGGATTGATGCCTACGAGGTGGTGGAGGGCAGCACAGACGAGGTGGACAAGGTAGGCTGGACAGGATGGAGCTGCCATCTCATTCTATGCCATGCCACTCAATGACACCCTCTGCCACACTGCTGTGCCACCCTATGTCACTTCATGCCAAGCCACCCCATGCTACATCATGCCATGCCACCCATGTCATGTTACCCCATGCACCCCATGCTGACTCCGGGGCTTCTGGCAGCTGCTCAAGGAGTTCCTGCGGCTGGACCTGACGGCCCCCATCCCCGGCACCTCCCCGGAGGACACCCGGCAGCTCCTCCTCGAGGGCAGCCTGAGGATGAGGGAAGGTAAAGACAGCAAGGTGAGGACTGCAGGGGACAGGGAGGTCTCAGCTCTGGCCTCTGCCCAGCCACCCTCACTCTCTGCACCGACTGGTGCCCATGGCTCCACTCTCACCCCCAGATGGACGTCTACTGCTTCCTCTTCACCGACCTCTTCCTCATCACCAAGCCCTTCAAGAAGGCTGAGCGCACCAAGGTGATCCGGCAGCCCTTGCTGGTGGACAGAGTCGTTTGCCGAGAGCTCAGAGACCCAGGTGAGAGTACTGGGCATAAGGGGGACTACAGGGAGGTCCCTGGACACTGCTGACAGCCCCTGCCCACAGGCTCCTTCCTCCTCATCTACCTGAACGAGCTGGGGAGTGCTGTGGCCGCCTACACCTTCCAGACCACGGGGCAGTTGTGCCGCAGCTGGGTCGAGGCAGTGCGCAATGCCCAGGTGAGGGCGCATGGGTGGGTGGGGGACCCGTGGGTACCCTGTTCATACCCCCTTCGTCACTGATGACTCCCCCTTCCCAGAACCTGCTGCAGCGGCTGCGGCAGCGCCGGCGCATGGAGGAGCAGGAGGAGGAGGATGAGGAGGACGAGGAGGACGACGGTGAGAGTGGCACTTCAGCTGCCAGTTCACCTACCATCCTACACCACAGCAGCGCCAGCCCGGACTCACAGCAGTGGTAGGGAGCAGGAGGGGGGGACCTGCACACCCCCAGCCTGGCACAGGCCCCTCCTCACCTTCTTGTCTCCACAGCCCATCCGACGGCTCCACCGAGACCCTTGCCATGGTGGCAGCAGAGGGTGGCGACGAGCTTTCCTCCCCAGACTGGGACACAGGACCCTTCAGCTCAACCTCGGATGGCTCCTCTGTTAGCACCAGCACATCCATCGGCACTGGCACCTCTGTCGAGACCCCCACCTCCTCCGATACCCCCACCCAGGAGCTGCCTGCAGGTGCCCTGCCTGTTCCCCTGCCCCACGGCGTGGCCTCCCCAGGCAGCGGCTGCCGCTCGTCCTCCATCGACAGCGCCTATGGCACGCTCTCACCTGCCTCCCTGCGGGACTTTGGCCAGCAGCCAGAGGGGACGGCCGAGGAGGGGCAGGAGCCCTCCCTGGCCCCTCCCGCTCCACGGCCTGCCTCGCCCCGGCTGCGCCGCCGGACGCCCGTGCAGCTCCTGCCCTGCCCGGCCAGGGTGCTTAAGTCCAAGTCGGAGGCCAGCTTGCCCCAGCTCCTGTCCCCCGCTTCCCCAGGCCCCCTAAGCCAAAGCCGCAGCCTCTCTGACCTCTGTGCTGGTTCCCCCCGGACTAGCCAAGACCCCGCACCTCAGGCTGCCCCCGGCAGCAGTGGCAGCTCCACATCAGAGCTCTCAGAGCCAGAGGAGCCAGCGGAGAGCCCAGCGTCCCTCCCAGGGGAGCTCAGGCGTGACCCCCAACCTCCTGCCCGCCGGACCCTCTCGGACCCCCAGTCAGCACAGCACCGCAAGCTGACTCTGGCACAGCTGTACCGGATCCGGACCACACTGCTGCTCAACTCCACGCTGACAGCCTCGTAAGCACATGCTGCCTGCTCCCGGGGGATGCCCCAGCCCTTCCAGGGGCTTCCCAGGGACCGAGTCCCAGTGCTGAAGGCATCTCTCCCCGCTCTGTGTCTTGCAGGGAGGTCTGAGAGCCGCTGGCATGGAAACGGACAGATGCATGGATGTACCAAGGAGCTTCTCCTGCTTCTAACCGTAGCGTAATGCCGGGGCCGGGCAGAGCAGGCACTGGGATGCCACGCTGGTGGGGACATGGATGGGGATGCAGACCAGTCCCCTTGGCGAGGACGTGTCCTGGGCATGGTGGTGCGGAGCTGGACATGGCACGTGGCTTGTGCTGAACCCCTTGTCCACAGACATGAGAGTTGTTGGGCAGGGGGCCCTGGAGCTGTGGGGGGCTGTGGGAGACTGTGGGTCAGCTCTTGCAGGCGAGGAAGGGATGACGACGTCGGCAGTGGTGAGTGGGGAAGGTGCTGAGAGGGACGTGGTGCCGGTGGCACGGTGCTGTGGACAGTGCAGGGAGGAGGCTGGGGCTGGTGGCAGGAGAGGATGGTGCAGGGCTGAGGCAGGTTTGCCCTGTGGGGTGGCAGTGGATGGCAGCACCTGGGACTGGAGTGTGGGAGACACGGTGGGACACGCGCGGTGGCCGGAGCCCCGGCTGCCCCCCCATGCTAAGCTGCACTCCACGTCCCAGCTGAGCAATAAAACCAGCTGGTGCACGCTCATTCTGCCTCGCCTTTCCTTTGGCTTCAGCAGCGACCAAGACCGGCCATCACCTGGGTGGGTGCGGGGTGGCTGAGGGAGCCCCACCGCGACAGACAAAGAGGGGGCTGGGACCAGTTCTAGCCTCCCGTTCTGGAGCTCGGGGTGGGGATGGAGCCCTGCGATGGGGGTCTGCACTGCTCCCCACGTACCCTGCGTCCCCCCGCCACCCCCGTTACCGTGGGTCTGCGCCAACGGGCAAGGGAGGGCGGTGGCCGGGTCCGCGGCGAGGCACTGCAGGTCCCTCCCGCGCCCAGCGCTCCCGTCATGTGGTTTCATACCCCCTGGACTCATTTCCAAAAAAGCATTTCCTCCTGCTGCGGTTGGGTGTAAAAGCCTGTCTGGGGAGGGCTGGCGCTCACTCGCCACGCGTCGCGTGCTGCTGACGGCAGCCGTGGGGTGCCGGGGCACCCTGCCCGGGCACGGAGCTGCCCCGACACCCCACTGCACCTGCTGCCCCGCTCCCCTCACCGCCCCGGCATGACCCAGCCGCATCGGCCACAAGGATGAAGTGTTGCTGCCCTGGGGTGGCTTGGGTGAGTGCGGTGGCCTGGGGGTCCCATGGAACCCTGGCACCAATTGTGGGGTGTCCCACGGCTGTGGCCGTAACGGGTCTGGAGGAGGGAGGGAGGAAGATGGATTAACTCTAGTGCCAAGCCCGCCAAAACCGCTTACCCCTCTGGCTAACAGCTGGGGCTGGGCTCTGCTGCACCACAACATTCACGGTGTGGCGTGACCACGGAGGCCATAAAGGTCTCGGCCACAGACCGGATGCGGCCTGGGAAGCGTGGGGTCATTCCTGGGGCTGCAGGCAGGGCAGTGCCACGGCGAGTGGCTATGCCCACACTCTTTGGGGGCACACGAGCACCGAGCGGCGGCCGCGTTCCGGGGGGCAGAGGCGCTTGCCCGGCACAAGCGGCGGTGGCTCAGCCAAGCACAGCCAGCCCCGTGCCCACGGCTCCGCTGTCCCCCGGGTGGGCAGGGGCAGCTGCCCGTCTGCGGGCGGGGTGCGCGGGCAGGGCCCCGCTGCGGGACGGTCGTGCCTCAGCGGTGACTCAGATGTGCCGCTGGCAGCCGGGACCGAGGCAGCCGCCCGGATCTGCCGGCAGCGCTCTGCGAGCGGGGCGGCCCAGCGCGGTTTTCAGTCTGCCGGTGGCGGCGGGTTTAGTAGAAAATGATTCAACTGCCGTAATCGGGGCCATCACGGCTGGGAAATCCAGCCCCCAGCGAGGAATCCCCTGGCTCCCTGCCCACACTGTCAGTGCCACGGCCCTCTCAGCCCCCGGCCCGGCCTGTGGAAGGGGTGTCGGCGTGGGCACTGCTCCCTGCACCCACCGGGGCTTCCAGGGCAGCAGGGCTGCTCTGCGGACAGCACCTGGCACCCCGCGGGGGAGCAGTGACCTACTTTGGGACGCGCGTAACGGGGCGCGATAGCATCGGGAGAGCGTGAGCCAGGCACGGCTTCCTTTCGGGGAGGAAATCACCTCCTCTGTGAGGGAGATAAACCCCAGGAAAGTCAAAGCTGGCAGCGTTAACCCTTACGCGCCCGGCTACCGACACCTCCCTGAGCTGGCGATCTCTGGCACCACCAGCAGCCCGTGTGCCTGACTCGCTGGTCCCCATCCCTGGGACGTGGCGGGGGTCCTGTTGGCACAGGACGTCGAGCATCTCGGTGTCGCTCCCAGCCAGCCTGGAAGCACCATTTGCAGAGCACACGGGGGCACCTGACAGCTCCCTGGGCACAGGCTGGCCCCCACAGTGCCAGCAGGAAATTGCTTGCTCGTGTACTGCGGGGAAAGCAGAGCACAGGGGCTGCCGCGGGGCATTCCCAGCCCTGGGGCAGCACACCCACGCGGCTTTGGGGCGGAGGGCCGCGGCTTCAGCCTTGTGCAGGCACCGCTGTCCGCACAGTTCCAGGTACGGCTCTGGCTCCGGTAGCCCAGCATGAGCTGGTGTGAGGGCTGTCCCCACGGGTGCAAGGCTCCTGGAGCAACCCGTCTGCCTGCAGCCCTGCTCTCTCCCTGCTTGCAGGTGACCTTTGCAGCGCTGTGGCTGGCAGCCAGCGAATCGCAGCCCCCGGGGTGGCGGGACCGCGCTGTGCTGCAAAGGCAGCGAGTCCTGGTGCAGCCATTCCTCCGCCTGCGGAGACACACTGACAGACGCCAGTGCCCTGACAGCATGAACTGGATCGAGACTGCTGGCCGCTGCTGCCCTCCATGTCCCGCAGGTGAGCGCTGCCCAGTCCGTGTGGCATGGCACAGCGCACCTTGGCACAGCATGTGCATTGCTCCAGGTGGCCGTGCTCCTTGTCACCCCACTGTCCCCGCAGGGACATTCCTGTACAAGGCCTGCACAAGCCCTGAGAATCGCAGCGTGTGCCACCCCTGTCCTGCCGGCACCTTCCGCACCCAGCCCAACACCCTCAGCGAGTGCCAGGCTTGCTACGAGTGTGACCAACACGGTGAGCTGGCACCACACCCCACCGAGCTGTGCCATGCAACGCCGTGCCGTGCTGCTCACCCCCTGCTTTCTGCAGCTTTCCAGAGTGTGCTGAGCAACTGCTCGGCCACCAGAAACATCGCCTGTGGCTGTGAGCCCGGCCGATTCCGTGTCTGCCTTGACAAGCAGTGCAGTGAATTCTCTTGCCAGAAGTGCCAGTCCTGCACCGGACGCCTCATCCAGCGACCCTGTGAGTGCTGCCAGCTGCCCCACGGCACAACCTGCCAGCTGTGCCACCTCTGGCTGTGCCACCCTGCCTTATTCCCACCCTCTTCCCAGGCTCGGAGGTACAGGACACACTTTGTGACAGCAGCTGCAAGCCTGACTTCTACAGAGAGGGTGATGAATGCCGGCCATGTCACATGTGAGCATTGACCCTCCAGCCAGGGATGCATGTGGGGCCCATGGCATGGGCCACAGCATGGCACCCATGGGTTCCATCTCCTTGCAGGCGCACCGTGGACACGTGTGGCAAAGAGTGCCAGCAAGTGTGTGGCAGCAACAACCAAGGTATGGGAACAACGGGGCCAGGGTCTGTGGTGTGCAGTCACCATGCTGGCCAGATGATGGGAATGCTCCTGCTCCTCCTTTCAGGATCAGGTCTGGAGTACATCCTGCTGGGACTCACCGGGCCTCTCTTCCTGGGTGCCCTGGCCATCTACCACAAGAGGAAGAGGCTCTGGCCTGGTGCCCCGGCACCTGGTCCCCACCCCACGGCACAGGCTGCCACCTCCATGGCCAGGGTTGCAGCCACACCACGGTGCTGGTTCAATGCCGGGAGGTGGCACAACCCGTGCTGGACCCAGCCATGCCCCCCACAGGGGACAGAGCGTGCCACTGGCACAGCAAAGAGCCTCAACCAGGCCTTGCTGCGTGAGCCACCCAGTGACGAAGGGGAGCCCTGTGCACCCCCGGAGCCCCGCGGTGCCTTGCTGCAGGGCAGCCAGCTCTACGCCGTCATCGACGTGGTGCCAGTACGGCGTTGGAAGGAGTTCATGCGGATGCTGGAGCTGCGGGAGGCAGAGATTGAGCTGGTAGAGCTGGAGGTGGTCCACATCCGCGACCAGCAGTACGAGATGCTGAAGCGCTGGTGCCAGCAGACCAGTGCCACGCTGGACCACGTCTTTGCCGCCCTGGAGCGCATGGAGCTGGCCGGCTGTGCTGAGGCACTGCGCCAGAGTCTGCCCATGGGACCCTGATCCCCAGCGTCAGCACCCTGGCACAGGGAGGTCCCGACACCTCTACACCTCACTGGGCACCTCATCCCAGCCATACCCCTAAGTATTGTTACTTATGCCGTGTAGACATTTTATGTCAGTTTTATGTCCCCTTCCCACCTGCCTGTTCCCTCTATTTATGTCCTCCTGCTCCCAGGGCCGGGGAGGACCCCATTTCCCAGCACGTCGGCTGCCCAGCCCCTCGCGGGACGAGCGGGCACCGAGCCCACCGCGAACCCATGGGATAGTTCTCAAGGCTGCCCGCTGCCGGGCGCTCCTTCCCCCTCCCAATAAAGTGGTGCATTCTCCATCCGCCAGCCCTGCCCCTTCTTCACAAGGCTGTGTCAGCCAGGGCACCGCTGGCCTCAGGACTGCCACTGGTGATGTGGCCACCACAGGTGACGGAGAACGTGGGTGCTGGCAGAGATGCAGGCGGTGTGAGTGTTGGGGGTGGTTGTGGTGATGTTGGTGAGGGGGCACCGCTGTCGGCGAGCAGGGCGTGGGTGGGGGATGGTGTGGGGAGCCCCAGGAAGGCGCGGGGCACTGCTGGCGGGGTTTATCGTTTTAATCGCTGGAAAGGCAGGCGGTCTGGGCAGAGGTGAGCCGGAAGCTGGCCTTGGGCGGCTCTGCAGGGGCAGTAATGAGGGCGAGCGCGCTGCAGCGGCGAGTGGTGCCAGCGGGGCGTGCGGTGAGCCCGGCCGGGCAGAGGCGGGCAGTGCGCAAGGAGCCGCGCGTCCTACGCCGCCGCAGCTCGCTTTGCAACGGGCAGCACGGGGTAGCGGTGGGCTGGCGGCAGCGGGATGTGGGGGTAGTGGGGGCTACGGGTGCCTGGGGCTGTGGGGGTGGCTTCTCTGGGTTGGGCTAAGTGGCCATCCACGGCAGGAGGAGGATGCCGAAGCATGTCGCGGTCCATGGGAGGACCTGCCAGTCTCCTCCTGCTGCGAAGAGCCAGGATGCGGTGTGGCGTGGCTAGTGCTTGGCTATGTCCCCCTTCTTGAGGATGATCTGTCGCTGCCAGGGCGCCAGCTTTGTCTCATCGTACCCGAGAGTCCTTAGCTTTTCCGACTGCTCCTTCTCCTTCTCCTCCTCCTCCCGCTTCAGCTTCTCCTGCTCTTTCCTGCTTAGCAGCAGGGGGCACAGGGCGCCGCGGTCACCAGGGCCGCGGGAGCCGCCGTGCCCGCCCACCCAGGGAAGGGGCTTGCGGCACTCACCGTTTCTGCTCCCTGTGGAGGCAAAGGGAAGAGTGGGGTTAGTAAAGCCGCGGGAGTCACCCACTGGTGCGGCATCCCCAGACCCTGGCTCACCTCTCTTCCTCCAGCTTCTTGCGCAGGATGTCCCGCCTCCAGGCCGGCATGCTGGCCAGGCGCGCCTCCTCTTCCTTCTCCTGCAACAGACAGCCGTGTTACCGGCACTGCCGGGAGCCCGCCCTCACTGCCGGCACCGTGGGGCCGCAGCATCACCCTGGTGCTCGGCACCACATCCTTCTGGCAGCGCCCTGCTTGGCACGGTACCGGCGGGGTTCACTCGCCGACGCGCCCCTCAGTGCCCACCTTCCACCGGCGCCGGGAGGAGGAAGGAGCGCGTGGCGTGGCCAGCCCTTGCAGCACACCGCAGCTTTATTGCACGACACGCGGGGGCCCACACTGCCCCGGCACCGCAAACGCCACACCAGAGGGGAGCGCAGCCCCGCCGCTGCACCTCCCACACAACACACAGCCACGGCAAGCGGCACACACGGCAACCTCGGCCCGGGGCCGGGCAGAACAGCAGCCAGCCCTCCGCCAAGCTGAGCTGCACCACGAGCCACAGAGGCAGCCGAGCCACCCGGGCACCAGCCCACAGCTGTCCCCTGAGCTTGCTGCTGCCCCATGCCACACCACTGGCACAGCCTGCAGCATCCAGCTGGACTCAGGTGTCGAACATCTCTGCCTCCTTCTCCTTCCAGAAGGAGAAGCTGCGGTCAATGAAGCGGCAGACGTCCTCCTCGCTGAACTCTCCCAGCTCCGGTACCGGCACTGCTGCCCCCTGCCCTTCCGGGGCCACGGTGGGGAGCTCTGGCAGGTTCTCTACCACTGCCACAGGGTCATCCCCAAAAAACTCCTGCACGAGGTCCTCAAAGCCGTCAAGCCAGTGGCGGTGGCCGGCCTCGACCTGCTCCAGCACGGTGCGGTGGAAACGGCGGACGCGGTGCCAGCTGTGGCTGCCCAGGCGGTCAAACATCTCGTAGCAGAGGAGGTGGCGGAAGCGCCGCTCCTCAGGGCTGAGGGGCATCTCCAGCAGCTGGAAGTAGCCCAGCATGAAGAGGTCGAGAGGGAGGCTGTCGTGGGGCATGGGCGAGCCGCCCACGTGGGGCAGGAAGTGTTGGGGCCAGTACAGCACCGTGGTGCGGCTCAGCCGCCGGATCTGACGCCCTGGCACCCGGCGGGCAACGCTCCTCCAGCGGGCCAACAGCCGCCCCGCTGCCGGTCGCCGCCTCCCCGGCCGCCGTGGCCGCTCCTCCCCAGGCCCTGCCGCGAGTGCCCGCTTCTTCCAGTGCTCCAGGAAGAGGAAGACGGCGCGCTCCTTGCAGCCCTTGGTGCGTTCATGCGGGCTGCTCGGCTCTGGCAGCGCTGGCCTGCTCCTCCGCAGTGCCCCATCCCCGTATTCCTCCTCCAGAATGGGCCGGCGGGTGCTACCAGGGGGCTGCACCCGCTTGCGCTTAGTGACCCTGGGGGGAGGTGCAGGGGGTCCCCCTGGCCCCTCGTAGTTGGCCTTGAGGCTGCGGACAGAGACACCGCAGCCCAGGATCTCGCGCCGGGCGTCGTGCTGGGCACCGGGGCTGCCCCCGGCTCCCCCCGCCCCAGGGCCCTCCCGGCCGCTCAGGGGGGCTGGTGGTGCGGCCGCGCTCCTCGGCAGCGTGGGGGACTGGCTGCCGCGGGCAGGCGCGTCCTCGTGGGCGAGGGCGAAGCGCCGGGGTGCCGGCGGGGAGGAGAGCGGCACGAGTGGCAGCAGCTCCTCCTCCGGCCCCCCTGGAAGCGGCTGCGCCTCGTGCATCACCCGCAGGCTCCCCAGCTGCCTCTCCAGGTGCTGCATGTCCTCCTCCCGCATCGGCTGCCCGGCGGGTCCCGGAATGCCCCCGTGGGCAGGTGGCCCGCGCCGGCACAGGGGCGGCGAGCGGTTCACAGGCTGCGGCGGGAGAGAGGGCAAAGGGGCTCTTGAGGCCACGCCGCACGCACCTCGTGCCACTGCCGCCGTGTGTGGCATCCCCGGGGTATGACACCCCTGCATGCAGGTAGGGTGGTCCCCAGCCCAGTTAGGAGCCAGAGGCAATGCCACGCACGCCGTCTCGCCAGGTCCTGAGCTGCTTGGGCCGTGCCCGCACCGCGCTCGCCGCCGCAGCACGTGGGACCCCCCTACCTTGCGCCGCTGCTCCTCTTCCTCCTGCATGCGGAGCTGCAGCTTGCGAACCATCACCTGCCGCTTCCACTCGGGGATGGGCCGACCGTGCTCGTCCTGGCTCGGCACCAGCGCCTCCACCTCCGCCGCTGGCCCAGCGCCTGCTGCCGGCACCGGCGAGCTTCCGTTCAGCACCGGCTCTGGAGAGCCCCCTGCCAGGCAGCGTGGTGGCCCAGCAGCCTCGGGGGTGGCCGGCGGGGTGGGCGTCCTGGTGGGTGACGGGGAGGACACTGGCGACTCTGCCTGTGGAAGGAGGGAGGGAGGGAGGGAGGGCGGTGGGCATTTGCCGTGCTGTGCTGTGCCGCGCCACCGGCTGCCCTGGCCCCCATCACCACCTACGTTGGCCCCTGCCTGGCCGCTGCCGGAGAAAACGGTGGTGAAGCCTTTGCTCTGTGGCGTTGGCTTGAGGCTCTTCCCAGCTTTGATCTCGGCCAGCAGCTCCGAGTTGTCGCCGGTGGGGGACATCATGTTGAAGGACTTGGTGCCTGAAGGGAGGCAGAAGGGGCAGTAAGCACCCCACCAGCACCATCTTCCTGCCCCTGTGAATCCCCCACCAGCCTGTAGGGAAGGGGGGTGGAGAGGTGGCTGGCTGACTGTCCCCCTCCACGCCATCCAGGAGCACCTGGAACACCCCTGAAGTAGCATCCAGACACCCAGCTCACCACTCTACAGGAACAGCACATCACCAAACTCCTGGGTCCATCAGACCCCAGTGGAGCAACCCCCCAGCAGCACTCAACAGCCTGGCACCCCAGCTCCACAGATCTGTAAGACCGGAACTCCAAGAGCAGCTTACAGGGTCTATGGCACACTGCTGCAGCAGCACCCCACCACCCCAACGCTCAGCTGCAAGGGTCCCAGCCTGGCCCCCGCCCCGAATGCCACTCCATGCCCCCGAGACACTATGTTGCAACAGAAGTGTGCCTCTGGAGGGATGGCTCCGTGGCCGGTGGCACCCCTGCCACTGCAGGACGGCTCCTACACTCTCCTGGCAGCTCCCGGCAGCGATGCACCGACAGCCTGAGCCGGACTCCCCGCCAGCCCGGTGCCCAAAGCGCTGCGTGGCACCTGCACCCCGGGGATGCTCTTCCCACTGCTCATGCCACCCGCCTCGCGAGCACCCACCGTCCGTGCCAGCCATGCGTGAGTCCCTAACGGCCCATGGTACCGCGCCAAGGCAAAGCCCCCTCCCCGCGGCCGGCGCCCGCAGCTCGGAGCCAGAGGGCTGCGGGTGCTGAGGGCCCAGCGGGACGCTCGCACTGCCATCCAGCGCCGGCTGAGACCCCCCGGTGCCGGGAGCCGGCGCTAATAAAGCGGGCGCCGAGCAGCGGCCAAGCCCGCGGCTGCAGTCAGCGGCGGGGGAGCGGCCGGTGCGCTCACGTGGCGGGGTCACGCCGGCCGGCTGAGCGCGAACAAAGGCCCTCTGTGTGCGGGTCCGCGGGGCCGTGGGGCCCGGCTGCCTGCCCAGCCCTGCCAGCCCTGCCTGCCGCCTTCGGCAGCCCCGCACCAGCGCTTGGCTTCCCGCGTGGCACCGCCGGCCGGCGACGCGCAGCGAGGGCCCGGCGGCCGGAGCGCCGCGGGCGGGTGACAGCCCCAGCGGCCGGCGGTGCCCCGTGGCTGCAGCACAGGGCCTCTCCGGCTGTGCCCCGCGCCAGGGCACCCCCTGAGCAGGGAGGAGCGTGGGGCCGCGATACTTACTCTTCATCTGCCTGAGCGCCTTTCCTCCTAGGGAGAGAAGCAGAGAGGCGGCGCGGGGCGCGCGGCAGAGGAAGGATTTGGCCACCGCGAGACAAGAGAGAAGAGAAGCGGCCAGCAGTGAGAGCAGGCAGGGGCGAGCGGGCGTGGGGGCCCCCGCGCCGACACCGGAG